GGATCAAGGAGGACATTACCCTATGAGATAAGACATAACTTATAACTCACATAACTCTAGAGACTCACCTTGGAGACTTAAAGCTGGCAACATTTCTCCTTAGCTCTCATTCTTACTTTTTACCTTTCCAGTCTACCTAGTTTATAGCTTGGCTTCTCCCTCTTGATTCTAGATTCTCCTGTTGGCAAGGCCCCTCAGTGTTTGCCCAGTAAAAATGCTTAATGAATGTCAGTTAAAGAACTCATTTGATTAAAATGTGCTTAGGGAGCTTTCAGGATTTTGGTTTTCTACAAATTGGGAAACGAACTCTCTTTGGAAATCTATTCCCTCAGAACCTCAGATGGCCTCATCAAATCCCTCTGGGCTTTGAGTCTTTTAGTAGTTTTGGCTTGAATTCCTTATGTAGGCACTTACCTTTCCATCAGCATTTCTTTTCCTAAAATGACTTGTCTCATGTACCCTCCACCATTACTTGGTCTCTGGTATCCCTCAGGGGAAGGTCAGATCCCCTCCACACATGCAGGCTCACTTGTCTTCTGAAATGCACATGCATGGTAATGTGTAACAGGCCTCTCTTGAATGGGATCTGGTTTTGTGTCCTGGCTCACCTAACTCAGATCTGTAGAAACTTATTAACATATGAAGAAATTAAGGATCAGAAAGATTGAAAAACTGGCCCAAGATCTTAGAACCCAGTAAGTATTAAAAACCAGGTGATGAGCTTATAAAATTTGGGCTTTCTCTATTACCCCCCAATACTTCTCACATGTTTTCTATCAGTTGCTTTTGGGGGGGCACTTTTAATTCTAACAAAGTATCTAAGTGTGGGCCTCAAATCATTATTTCTATTATTTTTCTTTTTTTCTTTTTTTTTTGCGGTACGTGGGCCTCTCACTGTTGTGGCCTCTCCCGTTGCGGAGCACAGGCTCCGGGTGCACAGGCTCAGCGGCCATGGCTCACGGGCCCAGCCGCTCCGCGGCATGTGGGATCTTCCCAGACCGGGGCACGAACCCGTGTCCCCTGCATCAGCGGGCAGACTCTCAACCACTGCACCACCAGGGAAGCCCTATTTCTTTTATTTTTCAACTCAAGTGGAACCTATATAAGAATGACAGTAACAAATCCACCCACCCCTATGCATCAGTAACCTGCACATCTTCCTGTTAATAGAATGTGTCTTTAAATTGCATGACCACTGTTTTATATTGGGTCAGCCCCTAATGTTATTTCTGTCATAAACAATGGTCCAGATGCTCAGTGTTTGGGAGGAAACACCTTTCCTGCATAGCTTGGTCATGTGATGATGGGCGATTAGGATGACTGTGACTTCATTGCAATCATGAATTAGGCAACCAGGAGATCACATGTGGGGCATAGGGTGATCTGCCTAACACAAGCCATTTTCCATAAGCTACTCCTCTGTAGAAATCAGGGGTTTTCAAGTCATAAAGCTATATACAGTATGTCATGGTTCTGCCCAATGGGCAAGGAAAAGGGGCAACTCATTTAAAGTAGAAAGGGCATGAGACTTGGAATCAAATGTGGGTTAGAATCCTGGCCCTGAAAGTTTCTGCCTGTGGATCACCTCATCTTTCTTAGTGTCAGAGTTCTCAACAATAAAACATGATTCTGATATCCCTTTCTTAGGTCAATAGTGAAAAACATATGGAGTGCCCATATATAGGTTCTAAAAGTATTACTTTGTATAAAAGGTTTTCTAGAGGATTGAAATCTTAGTATTTGTTTCAGAAGTGACTTGGTACAAATAACATTTTAAATTATAACTTCCTTTCAGTGCAATATTTTTAATATATTAAAGCAAGGACTGTGACATGGCTATTTGAATGAAGTTGTTTTTCCTTATGTTTTACATGTTTTGTGGGTTTCTAGATGTTGGGTTCAGTTTTTTTTCAACATAGAAAAGCAGTGATATTCCTGATATGGTTTTGTGTATCTTAACACAGTAGGCAAGAACAGATATTTGGTGAAAGTTAGTGTTCTTAAGAAATCAGAGTATAATTAAACGTTGCTTTCTTACTATTACACAACAATAAGAACTCACAAAACGTACAAAGGACTTTCAGGTCAATTATCTTCTTAGAACTAAATCCTCAACACTCCTGAGAACTAGGAGGATTAGCGTTTGCTCTTGACCTTAATCTTGATCTGATATTTGAGATATCAGCCTCTAATTAAAATGTATTTATCTTTACACAAATTCATCTAAAAATATAATTTTTGGCCTATTTTATAGACAAAATGGATCACACGTATTATCTTCATTGTAATTCTCAAATTCTCCTTGCTAATTTTCAACTTTTCAACCTCTACATACACATCTGTAAATCTTGTCCATCAACTCAAAATAATAGTGTTTATGCTGCTTGGAGTGGGCTGTGCGTTTAGAGGGAAAGCTAACTAGTGCCCTTTCATCCTCTGCAATGCCACCTAACAACTGTCAAAATAATAGTATCCTAGGCCTGTGAGATCCAAAGGCAAGTCTTGGTTTTGTGAAAGGGGAAATACAACGAAAAGAAAACAAGCTGTGGAGTTCACCTGAGCCAAGCAGCGCTCCATCCTGTTTATTATTTGCAGAGAGCTGGTGTTATTTCAGCCATGTTGTCATTTTGAATATGCTACTGCAGTACTGCTGTAGCCATTGAAATTCCTGCCATTACTGTGAGACTTATCACTGTAACCCCATGTTCCAGGGATGGGCTTTCTGGCCATTGCTACTGACATATATGCAGGGGATGAAAAAGAGCCTCCAAATTAGCTGTGTGTGTGTGTGTGTGTGTGTGTGTGTGTGTGTGTGTGTGTATGTGTGTATGCATGTGTGCGTGCTTACGTGTGCATGTGTGGTTGGTTAGAGGGGAGGAGGGGCCACAATATTAGTTACTTAGTTTCAGGTAATCAGTTTCATAGTCTCAGTGTTGGAGGAATGTTTAAATGCCATCAAGACTAGTCAACCCTTATTCATCAGTTTTGGCCTCAAAGTATTATACAAACTATAAATTCACTTCTTAAAATTACAAAATACATATAAGCAAAATGGAAACAACAACAACTATAATTTCACCACTCATGGATAAGTATAGTTAGGAATTAGGTACATAAGTGTCCAGAGTCTTTTCTGTGGATTAGATTGTACTATACCTCACTATTTACTTAACAATATATTGCTAAGTATATAAAATACATAGCTACATCTAATTTTTATAGTGTTCCATTGTCTAGGTTTACCATACTTTTTGTAACTAATCCTCTATTGTTGGATTTTAGTTTCTCTTTTTTTGCTATTATAAATTATGTGAAATGAAAATCCTTGTACATACATCCTTTCACACCCAACTGATCCTTGAAAACTTCCAGTATTGGGAAACTGCCTATTGCCATTGACCTACCCACAGCAGATCTCACTAGGGTATGGGTTCTAGAAATGCGACCCTTAACTGAATCTGCATGATATAGGGTCTCTGGAGCATGGTCCCTGTCACAGTGTGTTCCCATGGTTCTTCTGTTCTCTTCATATTCTCTAATGTCACCAATTACATACTTCCAGTAATGGCTTCCTCCATTAGACTGTGGTTGCTCAGTCTTCCCAGGCTATAGGACTATTTATGATGTCAACAATGTCACACATTGTCAAAGGTCTTCTGTCTATCTCTAATTCACAAGTTGTCATCTTTTCCCCAACCAACTATTTTATTGCTTTATCAATGATTATGTCCATGTTAGTGAAAATGAAAAGCAATTAAAAAAAACCCGAGTTACAAGTACAGACTTAACTGTGTAACAAAGGGCACTAAGCCACTGATGGGTAAATACTTCCAGGAGGTAGCAGGCTGAACAGAGAGCCTCTGAGAGCTTCTCTGAGCATTTACAAGATGCCCTGCTTAGGAAGTCAGAGGGCAAGTTCTTGAGTGAGAGCTAGGAAACGTAAGGAGTCTCTGTAGCTGGGCCATCTGTCAGGGCTGTAGTGGAGGTAAGATTCTGAATATCTGGCAGGACAGTAGACTGCTCTGTATTTTCTGTCTAAGCTCACCCTGACCAATTTCTAGCATACAGGAGTAGGTCCAAGCAAATCACTTCTCTGGGGCAAACCAAGTGACTTTGGCTGATCTAGGCAGTAAGGCATGGAGAGGAGAGCAGGAACTTCATCAATCAGCATGTAGTCCAGGCAAGCCTGCTAAAGCCCTCCTGATTATCTGCTAATCTTCACCCTTGGTTTCTTCTCCCATTTTCTTGAAGGAGTCTTAAGATGTGGAAAATTTTGCAATTTAATAACAACCAGCAGGAAAAATTAACCTGGAAAATCCAGATCTATTCTTAGATAGTTTTTGTGTTCCACTGTGGATCAAAATTGCCTGAGTGTGTGCATGTGGGCACACACACACATACAGAGGCATAAAAAGTGGCCGTGGTAGATAAATCACTCATGTTGCAGAGCACTCAGTTCAAGGTTGGGGGTATAGTTCCCTTTGATACAACCTGCTTGATAGCTCTTGTTGGCTGAAAGCATAAAACAGCACCTAGAGCATGTACACACAGGGCACTGTTAGATAATTACATATATATTCATTTATTTTAGAAAATATTTTAGAGACAGAAAGCTTTATTGGATTGGTACTGTTTAGGAATAATGTAAAATGGACTGGAGTATATTATGTTAAAGCTGTCCTCCGGCACTAATTGGCCTTAGTTCTCTCCTCTTGGCATTGCTTAGAATATGTCTCTATGATTGATTGTCAGAGATTAGAAATGGTTCCTGGGTCTTCTCTTATAGTGAGGTAATAGCTGTGTTTTAGTTTCAGTCAATACTGTATTTCAAGTGTCATATGTAAATGTGTAGCTCTGTACCTCCTGGTTTTGAGAAGGGCAGTGGATGATCGACACAGAGGGCACTGACAGTCTGAAGTGGTGAGTGTGGAGGTGAGAAGTGGTGCAGAAAGGGAAATAAGGAAGGCAGTTGACAAAAGGGAAATATCCTGGACTGGGGCCCTGTCCTGTCTTTTCAGTTCAGCTACTCCTGGAATGGTCCAAAGAAGAAAGAAGCCAAGGCATCCACCATTTGGTGTCATACCTGGACAGCCCAGCCTCTCTCATTACATGACGTTTCCATACACAGGTGTGTTACAAAGCCTACAAGTCAAAATCAGTAGCTAAAATGAGAGACTCAGCAGTAAAAATGATAGTATCTGTGGATCGAAACTTCATTTTGTAGATGAGAAATCTGAAACACAGAGAGGGGATGGGATGTGAGGCCACTCAGTGAAGTGAGTGCAGAACTCAGCTCTCCTGTTTTCCAGGTTGATGTCCTTCTCCAAGTGACATTTTGGGAACATGGTGAAGTGAAGCGGTTTAGGTTAGCAGCTACATTTGGTGACCGGTGTTCTCTAAAAACCGCCCTAAACAAGAAACTACTTAGATAATTGCACAGAAGATATTTGGCACATTGGAATTCCTTTATTCTAAAAAACTACACATTTTTCTTTTCTGGTTTTGCCAATTAGATTTATGGTTTGGCTATTGGTCTAGCAGGCAACAAGATGTATGGTTGTTTTGCTAGGTTGCTAAATACCTTTCTTCACTCTCTTCTGAAGAGAATTTTCTGCTATTCCTCTGTGGAATGTTTTTGTCATTCGTTACAAAAAGCAGGCACGCAAAATCATAGAATCACAAGCAAACCTCCCTGGTCCCATCAACATTTGAGTAGTAGTGCCCTTATACTTCCATAAACAATGGTTTACCAGGGGATTTTGATGCTGCTCCTGTTATGCTCTGGGAAATGGTTCTTATGATTCCTATTTCGGGGCTGTGGAAACTGAGGCTCAGGAAGGGAATTTATGTGTTCTGAGCATTTGTGCAGATTCTCTGTAACTCAAGTTTCAGAGAGGCAGCAAGAGGAACAAGGGTCTCCATTTATCCCACCTACTACATTCCCATTTGGAGCCCCCCATTTTGGGCCCATCCAGAATTACATCCAGTCCTTCCTTTATCTCCTTTCAGTTTAGCAAACCTAATCATTTCAGCTTCCCATTTGCTCAACATTAGTTGTCCAGATGAGCTGAGAGCATAGGTCATTGCAAGGCTTGATCAAACCTCATTTCACATTTTCTCAAAATGTAGGCAGTTAACTAGGGCCTTGGCATTCTTTGGTTGTATCAGCTATTTGAAGAGTTTATTTTCTTGGTTGGTTGTACTTTCCCCCTTAGTATTTGAATTGAATTTATCTCCCATTTTATTCCTATTTTATTATACTTTCATTGCTCTGCCATTAAAAAAAATAAAACCATGCTTGAATCAGTTTTTAACACATGGTGTCTGAGGTTGGAAGACATGATTTTGTTTCCTAGTTCTTCCTCTCTCCAGATTTGTGACATTGGCTAAGTCTAGTCCCCACTTTGGGCTTTAATTTCTTCACCTGTAATATTAGGGTTTTGGACTAGGTGACCTTTAAGGGCTCTTTCTGGTCTGAAATGCTCTACTTGCATATTTCTTTCTTTTTTTAAATCAATATTGACTTTCTAAACTAAAGTTGATGGTCAGGACTTTTGGTCTAGGACTTTTTTTTAGCAGAATTTGATTATTTTGTTTTAGATTGAAGGATATGGGAACCAGGCAGGTCTGGCCAGGATGGCCTCAGTTTGGGATAATCTCTGTATGGTATCTGGGTTTCTAAGAAATTGTCCAGGCAAAGCCCTCTCAGCTCCAGATCCCTGAAGACATTGTGTCAGTTGCTGTAGTCTCCTGCACTGCTCAGTGTCATGATTTGACAGGCTGGGGATATGGATGCTTTCAAAGTATGACAAAACTTGGGAAGGGGAAGCTGGGGATGAAGTGAGAGAGTAGAACTGATGTACATACACTACCAAATATAAAATGGATGGCTAGTGGGAAGCTGCTGCATAGCACAGGGAGATCAGCTTGGTGCTTTGTGACCACCTAGAAGGGTGGGATAGGGAGGGTGGGAGGGAAGCTCAAGAGGGAGGGGATATGGGTCTATATGTATACATATAGCTGATTCACTTTGTTGTACAGCAGAAACTACCACAACATTGTAAAGCAATTATACTCCAATAAAGATATTAAAACAAAAAACAAAGTGTCACAAAACTCTTAGCAAACTGTTAACAGGTAGAATTGCAGAATTTTTATTTGGTTATTTCTTTAAAAAAAAACATGCTTTACCGCTTCATTGATTATGAACTTTGTGAGGTGAAACTTCATATCCTCATTTTATACAGAGAATGTTTCTGAGGTCCAGAGAATGGGTAAGTGAGAAAGCTGTGATGGCCTAACTCCATCTCTCTTTCTCCATTTGAAACCTGCCATTTTAGGTTAAGTTTGTGAAGTTAATCTAACATTGTGCCAAGACTTTGAGTCACAAAGGTGCCTTCCCCTGTGTTAGAGTCAGAGACAGAATTCAAGTTAAAACTCTATTAACCTGAGAAGTGGCACTACTCTTCTCAAATAATCTTGTTTCACACCAGGCTCCATTTGGGGGAAGCCAGTTGGCCTCAGGTGCCATGAGGCCATTTGGCCATTGCCCCAGAGGATAATATCCAAACTCCATAGCCTGGCATTCAAGGCTGTTCAAACTTGAGTTACAACCTATTTACCTTAATCATGTTTAAGCCTGGCTGGCTCATGGTTCTAAGCCTTTCTAGCCTATTCTTGATCTGCTATGATTTACTCTAGTATACAGCTGACACTTGACTCCATCTCCAGTAACTATCCCTATCCCACCCTAACATTTTAGACTCAGTGTGAATACTTGGTATCCCCAGTTTATCTCAAGGACGTGGCCTGGTGCTTCCTTCATGTTCTTTAGCTTCTTTCCCAGAGAAAGATACCTTTATCTGCCTTTTGGAACTCACCTTCTGGTTCCAAGTTGCTTGGCTGGCGTTCTAGAGTACCTACTGGGGTGGCCCAGAAGTAGGGAATTCAGGACAAACATTGTAGATTCCCTGAGTGCTTCCTCTGTGCCAAGCTTGGGCTAAGCTGGGGATATAGAGATGGATTAGACACTCTCCTGCCCTAAAGGAACCTAGGACCTGGTGGAGAATAAAACTGTCTAAATAAATAAGGGTAGTAATATGTTGTGGGTGCTAAGAGAGAAATCCATATGGAGTGAGTGAGGAGTATAGGGAAGGGGCAAGTCAGTTGTGCCAGGGTTGTGGAGATGGTTGAGGAAAGCTTTAGAGATAAGGTTCTGTGTCCCCAGGGACATCCCACGTGAGGAAGGACTGCTTCATACAGAACCAAATTTCCTTCCTGGGACCAGGGAATAGATTCTCTAGAAAAGTGAAGTCACTGGTTTGTTAATTAGGCCTTTGCAGACAGAGTAATGTGGGAATAAGATCAGAGTCTCTTGGATGGAAATCTTGGCATGTGGGATGCAGAGTGCTCCATGGCCAGCCAGCCTGGCTGTGGGTCTAATTAGGTCTTCTTCAGAGAGGGGAAATTCCCAGCAGCGGCTGCAGTGGAAATGCTAAATGTGGAAGGCTGACAGAACAAGACTTGTTTTATCTGACTGAAATGAGGGGGAAGTGGCTCTTGATGTGATCTTTCTTCCATGTAGGGTTGTCTTTTAGACTTGGAAAAACTGGCTCAGAAACAAAATGCCAAGTGAAATGATAAGTCCAGAACATCAGTGGATAGTAGTTTCCCCAAGACTGTTCTTCTTCATGTGTGTTATCTGAGAAAGGCACGTTCAGGTGTCTGCCCAGCCCCCCTCCCCACTTCACATGCAGAGGGTGTTGAGTTGCCTGGCTCTCTGAGAAGGGTGTTTCACCGGACACACTTTTCCATGGTGACGTTGGTGGCAGGGCCCAGTGTCTCTGCAGGAAGTGGAGTGGTGAGAGGAATGGAAAAGAACAATGTTTTCCAGCAGGACCATTACCTTATGGAAACTGTGACACTGATTTGCAAATATCTCTTTTCTCTGACTACCTAGGGCTTTTATTAACATCAGACACCATGATGTTTATGATTCAGAGTTGATGAAATAAAGCTATCGTCAATTAAAATGTACACAAGTTAATCTCAGGATCATACTGTTGAGTGAAAAATAAAAGGCATGGAAGAATACAGACAGTATGATTTTATATAAAGGTAAAAAAAAAACTAAATATGTTTGTGTGTTTGTGTGGTATAAAGATGCAAACGTGTACAACTGTAAAATTAAGGAAGAAAATGAAAAACACAAAATTAGAGAAGGTGATTACTAATTTTGAGAGGGAGGGGATGTTTGGGTTGGGGTGGGGCACCCACAGAGAATTTCAAATTAATAATAATATTCTTTTTAAGATAATGAGCAGTGAGAACAGAGGTGTTCATTGTTTGGTAACTCTTTATATGTTACATATATTTTATGAATATTATGAATATTTACCATATTTAGTTAAACAATTAAACTGAACTCTTCTAACTAACAGGAGTGGGTAGAATGTGTATGGGGAGAGAGGTAAGTGTGTGGCTTATACCCATACGTTTGAAGGAAGGACACTTTATTGGTTGCCAGCTTACTGTGAGTCAGCATGACCATGGCTGTCTTTATATAAGCAATTGCTGTATACTTTGAATAAAACCCTATGTGTAGGGACTTCCCTGGTGGCGCAGTGATTAAGAATTCACCTGCCACTGCAGGGGACAAGGCTTCCATCCCTGGTCCGGGAAGATCCCGCATGCCGCAGAGCAACTAAGCCTATGTGCCACAACTACTGAGCCTGTGCTCTAGAGTCCACGAGCCACAATTACTGAGCCCATGAGCCACAACTACTGAGCCCATGTGTCACAACTACTGAAGCCTGTGCGCCTAGAGCCCATGCTCTGCAACAAGAGAAGCCACTGCAATGAGAAGCCTGCGCACAGCAAGGAAGAGTAGCCCCCGCTCACCACAAGTAGAGAAAGCCCACATGCAGCAATGAAGACCCAACACAGCCAAAAAAAAAAAACCAAACCCATGTGTAAAAACTGAACCCAGGTACCCCTCTTGAATCAAAAGGTTTTTCTCTCCCTGACGTGGGAAGTAGGAATGAAATAATATAAGGTAAAAAAAGGGCAAGGTACAAAACTATGCACAGAGTTTCATTCTGATATTGTTTATGTGCACATGTTAAAAAGGCTTGGATAGCTAGTGGGAAGCAGCCGCATAGCACAGGGAGATCAGCTCGGTGCTTTGTGACCGCCTGGAGGGGTGGGATAGGGAGGGTGGGAGGGAGGGAGACGCAAGCGGGAAGAGATATGGGAATATATGTATATATATAACTGATTCATTTTGTTGTGAAGCTGAAACTAACATACCATTGTAAAGCAATTATACTCCAATAAAGATGTTAAAAAAAAAAAAAAAAAAGGCTTGGAAAGCGTCTATTAAAGTATTTTAAAGGAGCTATTTCTTGAATATCTTTTCAGGAGAGAAGATGGATTTTACAAGCAGCTGTCCTGTTGGTCTATTTCATTTCCCCCCATTTCTGGTTTGGTGAGTCCATCCTCTCCACCATTTTGTGCTGCCCAATGGGAGCACTGCTTTCTTTTCTTTATGTTTTAATTGTCTATGGAAGATTCTCCTTTCTGCTTTCCAAAAATGATGAAAATTTAATTTGGTCTCTGGAGCGTGTTAGTGAATTCAGGAGCCAGGAGACCAGCCTAGGAGTAAGGAAATATGCAGGCTGGACAGAGGATTGTCATGGGAAATCCAGTGTGTATGGTCCTGGCAAGCACAGCACAGGCCAATAGTAGCTCGCTTCTCACCTATTCCCTCTTTCTTTTTCAGTCTACTCCACTGTCCCAGGTTAGGTTTCCTGTGTAGCAGACTGAGACTTAGATTCGTGTACTGGAGATGTATTAGAGAGTGTTCTTGGGACCAACATCTGGGGAAGGGAAGGGAAGAGGGGGATATGAGAGATGGGAGGGAAGGGAGGGAAGGAAGCAGGATTGGGTGGAGGGAGAACTCAGGCTGGAATGTAGTCTCAGTGGAAACCTCAGCAGACCCTGCAGGGAATCATGAAGATGAGATAATAACCCTTCAGAGCTGTTCAAAGTTAGGGTGAGAGGGCTGGACCTTTATACCTGATGTCAATCAGACACTGGATGCTGGCCACCTCAGGAAATGGGCATGACCTTGGATGAGGGGTCTCTCGAGCTGAGGCAATCCCCAAGGTGGGTGCCAACAGCAGTCCCAGCAACTTCATCCCAAGTCCTTCATTCTTGAAGTGGGATCTGGGTGGCATGTTATACCATACCTGCAATCCGATTATTTTTTTGTTAAAACATGAATTTAATAATGTAACCTGCTGCTGAAAATTCTTCTGTGGCTCTCCATTGCCCACAGGAAAAGGACCAGACCCTTACCTTGGCGTCTCATGGCTTTTTGCACTCTGATCCCAATTCTTTCTTTCTGACAGTATTCCCCACCCTTGTCCATAACCTAAGAGAAACACACCATGTTCCAGTTACATCAGCATTTTCACATGCTGAATGTACACCTTTATATACCCTGTTTCCTCTGTCTGAATATCTTTACTCTCTCAAATTCTTACTCAGTCTTCAAACCTAAGCTCAAATGTCCCTTTGTCTGGAAGGTCTCCAGGCAGTCTTTCCTTTCTGTGGGTTTTCACGTCCCATTTTCCTTCTCTACTCACATTATTTTCTCTTTCTTTTCTCTTCTTCTCTCCTCTCCTTACTTCTGCTTCTTCTCCTTGTTCCTGCACAACTCTTCCCCCATTTTCTCTGATTTCTCTCAAGTTCATTATGCAGGCCTTTACTGTGTCACTTATTCCGGTATGCTCTAATTATTTGACTAAGAATAGCTGGCATATCAACATCAGTGTCACAGGGCCTCTTGCTTTATTAGGCGAGTTATGCAGCTTTTCTTAGAAATAGTATCAGAGTTGTTCCCAGTACCTTCCACCTCAAGTAAGAGGCAGCTTATTTGTAGTTATTTGTTTTCGTATCTGACTCCTCCAGTAGAGTGAGAGCGATTTAAGGCCAGGGGGTCTGCCTGTCATCATGTGTACCCTATGCCTAGCAAAGCCCTGTGGTAAGGGGTGGCTTCATTCAATGTCTGCTGAATGAATGAATATTGCTACATATGCCTTGCTTTTCATTAGAGAAAAGGGTTGATGCTGAAATGAAAGTGAGTTCCTTTGTTAAAGAATCAGAAAAAGGATGATAATAAATGACCACATTCCTTTCTAATATGCTCAGCTTTTTATTGCTGGGTTGATGTCACTGATGAGTTAATTTGTGTGATAAATGATCTGTTGCAAATGTAGACGTTTACTTATTCCCATTTGTCCCGTATACACATTGGTAGTGGACGCTGATTGAGGTCCTACCATGTGCCAGGCTCTGCATTCATAATTTCTAATCCTCAGAATAATCCTACTAGATAGATATTGGTACACCCATTTTGCAGGTGAAGCAAATGAGGCTCAGAAAGGTTCAGCTAAGTTGTCTGAGATGATACACTTTCCAGTGACCACAATTTGAAACAGGGCAACCTGATTCCAGAGATCTCCCACTTCTTATTACTTCCTACTGCTGAAATTCAGTGTACTGATACCATTAGTGCATATAGGCGATAAGAAGTACTTACCTGTTAGAGGTGGAAGTCTTTTTCGAGAGCAATTCTGCTATCTTTTCAAAGAAAGGCCACATAGTTCATATGTTAAAATGAAGCGCTGCTACTTTGATGTTGACATTCTGTCTAGAAGTGGGCAAATTAAATTTTGTCTGTGTGTAATTTCTTCAACTATGAATTAGTGAGAGAGTGGGTGAGAGTCATTATGAAAAAGAGTAATCTTAAAATACTCTGAAATATGAAAATATAATGAAACAATTCTACATTATCATTATATATTATTATTACCAGGAAAATGCTGCTGCTAATAGCTTATCATCATAGTGATTTCTCCATGCCAGGCACTATGCCAGGTGCTTTCTATGCATCATCCCATTTAATCCCCACAGCAACCCATGAGGTAAATGTGATTATCATAGGTACCCTGTGACCTAGCACTCTTCCTCTTAGGTATTTACGTGAGAGAAATGAAAATAATAGTCCACAAACATACTTGCATAAGAATGTTAATAGTACTTTCATTCATCAGATGTCTGTTAATAGGAGACGAGATAAACTGTGGCATGTTGGCATATTACTCAGCAACAAAAAGGAAGTACCATTGATATATGCAACAGCATAGGTGAATCTCAAAACCATTATGCTGAATGACGAGTATATAGTTTCACAAAAGTACGTGCTATGTTGTTCCATTTAAATGAAGTTTTAGAACAGGCTTCTGTTGGTGGAAAAACATCAGGACAGTGGTTACCTTTGGGATGTAAGCTTGAAGAAGGCATAAGGGAATTTTCTGGGGTGATGGAAATGTTCTATGTCATGAATAGGGGCTTAGGTTATGCAGGGACATGCATTTGTCAGAACTCATCGAAGGGTATTAAAGGTTGTGCAAATCATTGTGTGTAAATTTTACCTAAAACATTGCAAACAAATATTGAACTCTGGTTAATCATATGCCCAAATAATTAGAGGTAAAATGTACTGATGTCTGTAACTTTTCTTGAAATGCATCAGAAATAAAATGGTTTGATGGTTAGAGAGAGATGGTTAGATGGCTAGATATGTGACAAAGCAAGTATAGTAAATTCCAGTATAGGATCTAGTTGGTGGATATCATGGGTATTCATGATGAATTTCTTTAAACTTTTATATGTGTTTGAAATATTTCATTAAAAATGTTGGAAAATGAAATAATAGATATCCAAAGAGGGAGGGTAATTAGAATAAACTAGAAAAAAGTACCCTGTTTAGTCCTTTTTCTGATACAAAATAAGCGCTTTCACCCAACAAAGCTCAGAGGACTCTCTCTTGCCTCCACACTGGAGTCAGAACTCCATCACCTTCCGGCGTTTTACTTCTTGGTCCTGCCTGATGTTCAGTTAATCTCCTGCCACTCCCTGACAAATCTCACTCATTAGCCCCTTGAGATGACTTCTTCCTCCCTGCATTCTCCATGTACTTTTACGCCTCTGTGCCTTCACCTTATACAGTTTCCTGTGCTTGGAAGGTCTCCATCCCTGTAAAATCTATACTTATCGTTATGGGTCCAGCTCACGTGTCCCTTATTGCCAATTTCTATTATAGTGCTGATCATATTAAGGTTGTTTCCTTCTATTTCCCCCTCAGGACTTAGAGGCCTTTGAGGACGGACAGAGTCAATGTCTTAGCAATGTCTTCTATGCTCAGGGCCTGGCTTGGAGCTCGGTGCAGGAAGCAAATTCAAGAAATGCTGGCACAGGCAGCAAGAGCAAGACGTGTTGGGTAGGTGAGATAGAATAGACCTGACATTGACAAATCCCTGCACCATTCATTTGCCACTTTGGTCTCAGATCCGTTTCTTGCTCTTTCTTTGCTCCATTCTGTGTTATAGGGAGCTGACCCCTGCAAACAACATTTCCCAGGAACCGTTACCAGCTGGCTTCTGGTTAGATTCAGTCACTGTGAGGCACTGGTGAGAGATTAGAGGGAAGAGAAGGGAGGAAGCCAGGGTATTTCTCTCCTCCTCTCTCTACTTAGGAAAGTGTCCCTTTCCTAAGGACAGTGACCAAGTCTCCTGTACAGTTCTGTCTGCCATCGAGTAAACTCTCCCTTTGTGGTCCCTCCTTCTGCCAGGCAGCTCTGCCATGGTTCCAGCTGCCTTTTGGTGACCTCAGCTCCTGGGCTCTGGTGTCACCACACACTCCCTTTATTCCTCCAGCCCTGGGGATGGTGGTAGCTTTTAGCTCTTCATAGTCTCTGATTTGACTTTCCATTCTGTACTTGGCTTTTTGGCTCCTCTGAAACCTTTGTGGCTAATTTCTTATGTAGCTAGCTTGAGCTTTATTTTCCTGACTAGAGCCTCACTTATATAGTCCCATACTTTGTACCTCAGTTTCTGCATTTTTAAAATGAGATGATTGAGATATAAGATCACCAATTTCCTCCTTGCTAAAATTTCAGTTGAAGGAAGATATGCTTTAGCAAGCCGTCCACACTGGCCCATTTTGAATTTCAAACAGAAAGAAAAAGTACTCCAAACATTTCCACTTAGTACCTTTTGTCCTTCCTGATACAGTATCCGTTTTGTTCAGCCAGGGCTCATCAACAGGGGAGAGAGGTGAGACTCCACCTGGAGTCCTGCCTGGCTTGGTGGTTGAATGTTGCCTATTATGTGCCAATGTCAAAGGTACCAGCACTGATTATATAGTGGCCAGAGGTCAGTGAGAAGCAGCGGGAGCTGGTGTGGCAATGAGGAGGGAGGGACCTGGGATCAGTGCTGACCCCAGCCACTGCCAGCTCTGGCACATCTCTGAAGACAGCAAAGACCTCAGAGTTAGTGTGAGGATGGAAAGAAACTTGGAGAGGACGAGCTACTTCTCTGCTGGGACCTGCTAGTTCATGGTCATCAATTATCAGCTAAC